CCCCAGCCAGCATAGCTGGCTGGGGGATTCTGGGAGTTGAAGTCCAGAGGACTTAAAGTCGCCAAGGTTGAGAAACACTGGTATAGGGTATGATAATTAAAATGCTCATTAAATGCTGGGCTGGCTTCTCCATTCTCAGCCATGGAAAATTACTGGGTGACTAATTTTTCCTTCTCTTTTTTTAAACCCAAGCTATACCTGACAGGTTTTTCTGCAGGGGCAGGAAGCATGGGAGAAGGTAAAGAGTTGAAGGAAAGACGAGTAATTAAATCCAACCACTAAATGAATAAATAAAATAAAAAACGAGATCAAAGAAGTGAAAGAGAGCGAGAGAGAAACATTATTATACCCCCACAGGAGAGCAGAGGAATTTGCTCGAGATTTAAAACATCCTCTGGGCCTTCAGGGGGGATTACACTTGACAGGAAGAAAATCCTCCTTTCTTGTCTCTAAAATAGGAGAGCAATTTGGTCTTGTTTCACTTTAAAAAGCCCACAGCAACTGATGTCACATTTCGGAAAAGGCTCTTCTAGAGCAAGTCCATTGCTGAATATTGGTGAAATGAGACAAGCTTCTGTGCTTTTTGCTCCTTTAGAACTAGACTCCATTGGAAGTGGTTGGCTCACTAACAGAGAAGCCACCCCAACTTCCAGTTTTAATTTTTTTGTAATTTTTATCCATTTTACATTTGCAAGTGTTGTTATATGTTGTTCTCTCTTGATGTAAGCCATTCACAGCAGTGGTGGGATATAACCAGTACGCCCCGGTACGGGCGTACCGGTGCCTGCTGGGAGCACCAGGTACCGTTCTGGTATGGTCCTCCGGAGGGCCCGCCCACCCGTCCTCCTTACCGGCATTTGAGCCAATTGGGGCTTCTGCGCACACGCATGGAGTGTATGGCGCTGCGCGATGCTTCGCCGAGCAGCTGGAGCGTCGCGGGCAGTAAGTACGCATGTGCATGCTGTACGCATGCATGTGGTGGACGCCTGGCCCCGTTGCACCGTACTGGTTGCAACTGAATCTGGAACCCACCACTGATTCAGAGTCACCTGAACCAGAAGATGGGCAGGAAATGAATTGGATGGGTGGGTGGGTGGATGCATAGGATGAATATAGAGATACACGATAGATACAAAGTCAGATAGATTAGGATAGAAAGATGGCAGACAGACAGACAGACAGAATGAATGAATAAATGAATGAATGGAAATGCAAATCTAGGTAATTTTTCTTTCCAGCCTTGCCACTGATTTTAACATGCAGATAGTCCTCAACTTACAGCCACAATTGGGGGCACAATTTCCTTTGCTAAACAAAGTAGTTGTTAAGAAAGTTGTGCCCGGTTTTATGACCGATTTTTTGACACAATTAAGCAAATAATTAACAGTTTTTAAATGAGTCACACAGTCGTTTAGCGAATCCAATTTCCCCAAGCATGGATTTTGCTTGTCGGAACCCAGCTAGGAAGGTCACAAATGTTGATCACACCAGGATGCTGCAATAAATAAATAATGGCATGTATTTATATATAAATAAATAAATACATGCCAGTTGGCAAGCGTCTGTGAATTTTGATATGTGACTGCGATGGTCGTAAGGGTGAGGACCAGTGATAAGTCCCTTTTTTTCACAGCTATCGTAACTTCGAATGGTTACTAAACAAATGGTTGTAAGTCAAGGATTCCCCGAGCTTTATAACTGAGACCATAATAAGTTTTGCATGGATATTTTTGCGTGACTCCAGCTAATGCGAATATGCATTTTGGAGATCCTGTTTCTTAATTATTCAACCAAAAACTATCCAGAGCTCCTAGAGAACCCATCATTCATTTTTGAGGGGGATGATCCCTCTAAGCTTCTCTGTGCGGTTTAAGAATCAAGAACTAAGTCTGCTGTGGTTTAATTAATCTTTCCTTCGCCAATAAAAAATCCCGACATTAAAAAAAATTGAACCAACGCAAGCCATACGTTTGCATTTGAGCTCTTAAATCTTAACTTTAATGGGTAAAGTCGTGTGGGTTTTATAACTTGTTCCGTCTGTCTCTTTCCATTGAAAATAAATCCATGGTGCAATCCAAGTTACATCCACAGCATCAAGCTGTGGTTTTGGTTTTTTATCTCCTAACTGGGTGAATAAACCACAGAGTATGCAACTATGAGTTGCATACTCATTATCAATTTTGGATTGTTTAAAACGAGGGTAGAGAAACTAGTCAAGTGCTTTGTGAATAATGTATTGTGTGGGTCAGTTGCTTACACATAGTAATATTTATCCAATTTCTAATCTCTATCTCTATTATCAAGTCATCGATAAAACAAGTTCCAGGTTAAAAAAAATATTCCCTAACTTCTTTATCCTTGATGTCAACTTATCCATTTCTGCACAATCTAGTTTTTTTTTTTAAATTACACTCTCTTCTGTGGATATTTCCTCATTTTTCCAGTNCGCATGCCATCACTCTGCTAAAGAACTAATTCCCACAACGCTCCAAATTGCTCATAAAACAATAAACCTCTGATCTTAGATTTATTGCTTGTGGTTTCCCTGTTTTTTTTAATCAGGATATTTCTACGACACCTCAAAATGATGCTATAGGGCACTGCACACCAGAACTAGGAAAAAGGAGAGGTTTTTTCCCCCGAATGCCATCACTCTGCTAAAGAACTAATTCCCTCACCACTGTCAAATTATTTACTAAGATTGTATTACTAATCTTCTTCTCATCCTTCCTAGTACCTCTCTCTTTCCTATCTCTTCCCACTTATGACTATAACCATATTGCTTATATCTTTACGATTTTTATTGTTTTGTTTCCTAATATGATTTGATAGCTTATTAGTAACCTATGACTATCACTAAGTGCTGTATCATGATTCTTGATGAATGTATTTTATTCTACTTATGTACACCGAGAGCCTTTGCACCAGAGACAAATTCCTTGTGTGTCCAATCACTCTTGGCCAATAAAGATGCCGAGGATCGCCTGTACTTGTTTATTCGCCTTTCCAACTTTTATTTTCACATTAACAACTGCAGCCAATAGGGTGAAGCAGGAGGGATCCGTGCGACGGGCTTTAGCGAGAATGACTGTTCCACCCCGCGCGACGACGTTTCAAAACCTCACCATTGATCAGCCACTTACTGTTTTCTTCAAGGGTAATCTTGGAGGCAAATCTGAAATAAATTCTTCAAATCGGATGAGCTCGTGGGCGTGGTGCAAGAGGGCTTCCGAAGCTTGGTTTTTATGAACCAGGATGATGTGGAAACCGTGGCGGTGCCTCAGGTCGCTGAGTTCCAGTGCAAAGTTGACATCGGCTGGAAAAAAAAGAGTGTGACAATTTATATTCAATAAAAATCGCGTGGCACAGCTGTTCCCCCCCCCGCACCACTGTTCTACTTACCAAAGTCACCCAGCCAGCTTTCCTGCATAAAGCGGGACTATAACTCCCAGTCTCCTAGCGATTGGCCCAAAGTCACCTGGTCAACCTTCCTGCATAAAGTGGGACTATAGCTCCCAGCCTCCTAGCAATTGGCCCAAAGTCACCCGGCCAGCCTTCCTGCTTAAGGCGGGACTAGAACTCCCAGTCTCCTAGCGATTGGCCCAAAGTCACCCGGCCAGCCTTCCTGCTTAAGGCGGGACTAGAACTCCCAGTCTCCTAGCGATTGGCCCAAAGTCACCTGGTCAACCTTCCTGCATAAAGTGGGACTATAGCTCCCAGTCTCCTAGCAATTGGCCCAAAGTCACCCGGCCAGCCTTCCTGCTTAAGGCGGGACTAGAACTCCCAGTCTCTTGGTAATTAGTCCAAAATCACCCAGCCGGATTTCAATTCTAAGGCAGGACTATAACTCACTGTCTCCTAGTTTCTAGCCTGGAGTTTTAACCAATAAACCAAACTGGCTGTCTTAACTGTTTAATTGCAAAGCTTCTGCATTTAAGACTTCGAAGGCAACTGAGCAGATTACGGATTTTGAATCTGTGCACGGATCAAAATACGTACTTGAGACAAGCACTACAGTGGCTGGTGCAGCATGGGTATCGGCAAATCTCCTAAGGCTTTGCCGGAGTTTGTCGTCGGCAGCATTCTTGGCTGTGGCATTGATGTGCGCAACAGTCACCTTAAAAAAAGGGGGGGGGGAAAGAAAGGAAAATTACATTTCAAGACTACCGTATTTTTCAGTGTATAAGATGCTACTTTCCCTTACTTGAAAATGAAGGGGCGTCTTATACACAGGAGGACAAGAGAAGGGAAGGGATGGCTCAATCCTGTCCTCCAGCTCTGCCAGATGAGCCTCTACCTTATATGCAGCTCAATCATTCCTCTCTATTGTACTTGTTTCCTGTATCACATTGCCACCCCAGGTTTCATCTCTATTGTTCCTGCGGTGCACTTCCTGTTCTTGTGCTTCTCTCTAATAAGATGGCTTCGGCACAGTGATGGCTTGTAGCGTGCTTACTTACTCGAAACATGAGGGCGTCCTATACATGGGGGCGTTTTATAGAGGGAGAAATAACGGTAAACACAGCAGGTCCAGAGTTGATGGATTCCCCCGAATCTTTTGAGTGCTCACCTGGCAATTGTTCAGCTCTTCAATAACTTCCTTGTTCTCCTTGCTGATGTCACACACGCAAATGAACTCGGCCTCTCGGTGGCCTTTAAAAAACTTTTCGCGGATGCGCTGGACCACCGTCACGGCGGAACGACCGGACGGGACTGAACAATTCTCGATATCCCAGAAGACCCCAATGGGAGGCAAGTTTTCCAGTAACTGGTTCGAGATCGCAATTTCTGGAGAGCCTGTGTTGTTCAGGGGCAGAAAGATCCAACGGCATCAATAACTGCACTTCTCCGATTAACTTGGTTCCCCAATCTTGGCAACTTTAAGGTAGACTTTCTTGTTTTTTTCTTGGAAGACGTTTTCGCTTCTCATCCAAGAAGCTTCTTTAGCTCTTGACTGGATGGTGGGAAATGGAAGGATTTATATTCCTTGCTGGCAGAGATGGTCATTTGCATTCTTTTTAGAGAGTCGTTGAGGCCACCTGGAGGCTTGCCTGCGTCCTCAGTAGTGCAAATGTGTGCGGAGCCTTCTTGTGTTCAACAGTGATGGGACACAGGGCAGAAAGCATTCGCCCATTTTCACCACTCAGGTGACCCTGAGGACGCAGACAAACCTGCAGGTGGCCTCAACGCCCCTCTAAAAGGATGCAAATGACCAGCTGTCTGCAAGGAATATAAATTCTTCCATCACCCACCATCCAGTCAAGAGCCGAAGAAGCTTCTTGGATGAGAAGCAAATCGCCTTCAAAGAAAAAACAAGGAAGTCCAATGGCCTCTTGAAAAAAAAACAACACTTTGGCACAACCATCGCTTGAATGACCAAGAATCTCCATGGACAATGAAGGTGGGTGGACTTCAAGTCCCAGAATTCCCCAAGCTGGCTGAGGAATTCCGGGATTTGAAAGTCCACCCGTCTTAAAAATTGCCCAGATTTGGGGGGAAATATGGATTAACTGGAAAGTTAAAGCTACGGTAACTTTAAAAGGATGAAGCCAAAGGATATTTACCATGTTTGGGAGTCAGCTGGCCAAAGCTACTGGCCAAGAGAAGGCTCTTCTCTTTCCTTGTTCCTTTGGTTCCACAGCCGTTGCACATTGGGAGAGAGAGGGGCGCCACCTGGGCGTTGGGAGGAGGAATATCCGGCCACATTTTAGCGGCTTCTACTAAATTTTCTTGGGACGACTGCGGAGGAAAAACATAGTATTGCCTTAGCACACAGCATACTGCATAGAAACCAACCTCGACCAGCTGTTCTATTCACTTCAGCCCCCACAGAGGTAAATAAAGCTTCCTCATTGGCCTACTCATTTAAATAAAGCTTCCTCATTGGCCTACTCATTTAAGTAAAGCTTCCTCATTGGCCTACTGGTGAATAGCTATTTCCTGGACAGGTAAAGGAACTCCTCGATTTACAAACATACCATTTAGTGACTGAAGTCACAACAACACTGGAAAAAAAGTGACCTATGACAGTTTTTCATACAATCGTTGCCGCATATCAGTGGTGGGTTACAGGAGGTACGCCCCGGTACAGGCGTACTGGAGCCTTCCTGGAGCATCGGGTACCGTTCCGGTATGGTGCTCTGGAGGGCCCACCTGCCCGCCTGCGGTCCTTACCGGTCTTTAAACCCTTTGGCGCTTCTGCGCATGCACATGCAGCACCTGCGCGATGTTCCGGCGAGCAGCTGGAACGTCACGGAGGCTTGCGGAGGCATCGCTGGATAGTAAGATGTGGAGGACACCGGGCCCCACCAGTGCCGCATACCCATGATCACTGTCAACTCGCAAAGCAATCATGGTGTCAACTCATAAAGTTGCCATGGTTTAGATCTGACTGCAATGGAGTATTGCCAAATGGAACTCCTAAAAAATGACTGGTTTTCTTTTGAAACTTGGCTCCAGGCTCATGAATCAATTAGGGTACCTTTCGGAAACCTGACAGTCAGATCTAAAACTTCATTTGAATAACGGCTGAACTTTACCCCTTTTCCTTCCCTCAAGTCTGCGTCATAAATCACATTCTCCAACGAGCTGCACACATCCCAAGCCTGCTGTAGTAATCTGACATCCGACTCTAGCCGAAGGCATGCGTGGAATGCACTCTCCCCCCTCCCCCTTTCCTCACCATGGCAACTTTATGAGTTGACAAATGGTCGGCTCTCGAGTTGCCATGGGCAGGAACGGGGTAGAACTGATGGAGCAGTTTAGCAGCCATGTTCAGAAGCACAAACCACGCATACCTTTCTCAAAGACGGATTTCAGAGTACCGGAGTTGGCCTGAAAGGCGTGGTTTTTACAGCCCGGGAAAGTGCCTCGTTGGACAATGTGATTAATAACACACTCTGGGAGGAGGAGGAGGTGAAACAGGGTCACAGTTGAACCATAAATCACGCGAGGCAGAGTTGACCTCAAATGGGAACAGTGCAGACATGTTGCACCTAATAAATAACTGGATTTCTTTTGAAATCTGGCTCGAGGCTCATGAGTTTCCAGTTAATTAGGGCATCTGTGGGAACCCTTACAGTCAGGTGATCAAAATTCAGATGCATGTATTTATGACAGTCACAGTGTCCTGGAATCACGTGGCCCCCCTTTTGCGACCTTCTAACAAGCAAATGTCAACGGGGAAGCAGATTCACTTCGCAACCATTAATGGTAACTTAACTTAATTGCTAACTTAATGACTGCGTCAATCTGGTTAACTACTATGGCAAAACTCATTTGGCAACTGCTTAGCAACAGAAAATTTGTGCTCCATTGTGGCTGTAAGTCGAGGACTCTATCCATGGCAACCATTTTGAAAAATCCATACAATATATCTGGATGTGCTCAAACTGGGTGGCCCTCACACTGAATGGGACAACTCGCTGCGGGACAATTTAACAATTCTATTTGCCGTATTTTTCTGCTCCATAAGACACACTTTTTTTGTCTCCCAAAAATGGCTGGAAATGTCTGTGCATCTTATGGAGCGAATATTGCTGAAGCCCTGCCTACCCACCGGCTCCCACTCGTCGGCCTCTGCACACCCTGTTTTTGGCCTCTCCGTGCATCCCATTTTTGGCCTCTGCACACCCTGTTTTCGGCCTCTGCGTGTCCTGCTTTTGGCCTCCAAAAACGGAGCGCGTGGAGGCAGAAAACGGGAGTGCGGCTTATGGTCAGGTATGTCTTATAGTACGAAAAATATGGTTTTCAGCCTCCACGTGTCCTGTTTTTGGCCTTCACGTGTCCCGTTTTTGGCCTCCGAAACCAGGAGTGCGTCTTATGATCGGGTGTATCTTACAGTACGAAAAATACGGTAATTATTTAAAACAAATAAAAGTATTCTTTTAATTTTTCCCATTCCCGTTTCCTTCCGTCCCTCCTTTTGCATCCTTTCTTTAAGGATTCTATGCCACCATTTCCTTGATCTTAGTGTAAAAATCCCGCAGTGAGGGGTTCTGGGGCGAGTTGGTCGTGGTTGAATTGACACAGTCCCCCCCTTCCCCCACAAGGCCAAAGCTCCTGAAGGCCCGCACAGAAACCGGTAAACCTTCCCAATATTACAGCGTAGGGTTAAACAGGGAGTACGAACCTTGCTGAGACACTCCGTGCAGTGGTGAGAGCCCTTCAAGCAAAGGGGAGGTGAAACCTTGAGGTGCAGCGAGTTGGTGCAAACGCAAGGCATGCGCTCTGGCTGGGCCAGGTGCTCCTCCGAGAGTCCCGCCGCCCCACTGAATTCAGAACAGGAAAAATAGCCCGGAGTCGTGCAGCCCGGATGGGGGGGAAACGGATGCAGTTTGTGCAGGTTACCGTGACAGGCTTGGAAGTGGAGTTTCCCGCAGCAGGAAAAGTGAGGGCACGGAGGGACAGGGTTTTCCCGGCACGTGCCGGCCATGTTGCTTCTCGCCGGGCCGTTCTTGAGCGAAATAGAAGAGGACGGGCAAGCCAACTCTGACCCTATCTGCCAGGTGATCGTCCCAGTGCCGGGGGCGTTTAAAACCGTCCCGGGGTGAATCAAGCCGCCGCCGCTGTTACCGCCACCACCGATGTTGCCGCTGCCGCCACCAAAGTGCAACTGAGGGACCCGAGGGGAGGGATCAGAGCCATGAGAACAGCAGCTTACTTTAGGGTTGGGTGAGAGTTGGATTTGCTTTGGCTGGAGAGAGTGGACGTCGGGGAGGGGCACAGCTGCAAAGGGCTGCAGAGGAGGGTGGTGAGCTGGGGGGGCTTCCTTCAACTCTACAGGAGCTTTCTTGCTCTCCATGGACTTGTTCTGAGGAGAGAGAGGGAAAGAAGAGGGAAAGAGAAGAGGGAGGGAGAGAGAGGGAGGAAGGGAGGGAAGAGGGATGGAGAGAGAGGAAGAGAGAGAGAAGAGGGGTGGAGAGAGAGGAAGAGAGGGATGGAGAGAGAGGAAGAGAGAGAGAAGAGGGATGGAGAGAGAGGAAGAGAGGGATGGAGAGAGGAAGAGAGATGGCGAGAGAGAGAGAAGAGGGAGAAGAGGGAGGGAGAGAGAGGGGGGGAGGAAGAGAGAGAAGAGGGAGGGAGAGAGAGGAAGAGAGATGGGGAGAGAGAGAGAAGAGGGAGAAGAGGGAGGAAGAGAGAGAGAGGAAGAGAGATGGAGAGAGAGAGAGAAGGAGGAAGAGAGATAAGAGGGAGGGAGAGAGAGGGAAGAGGTTTGAGGTTTATTGTATTTATATGCCGCCCTTCTCCCAAAGGACTCAGGGCGGCGTACAACATAAAAGAAAATACATATTACAAAAATTAAAAGGGACATTAAATAAAGTATCCAAACAAACCCCAATTGATATTTACAATAAAATTTTAAAAATTCAATTAAAATTAACAACCAAATCAATCCTATATTTTATTCTTTTCAGGCCAGGCCGGCTTGCTGGAAAAGCCAACTTTTTAGGGCGCGCCGGAAGGACCAGAGGTCGGGGATTATGCGAAGTTCCGGGGGCAGCTCATTCCAGAGGGAAGGCGCTCCCACAGAGCTCTCTTCCTGGGGGTCGCTAGCCGACACTTTCCGGCCGACGGCACCCTGAGGAGGCCAACTCTGTGGGATCGCACTGGACAGTGGGAGACTACTGGTGGCAGTAGGTGGTCTCGCAGGTACCCTGGGCCTAAGCCAGGAAGAGAGAAGAGTGACAAATGGAGACCAGATTAGGTCCCTGAAGATTTGCAAACAGACTGGAAAATTCCAAGCTCATTAGAAGTACAGGTAGTCCTAGACATATGATCAACTGTTTAGTGACTGTTTGAAGTTACGCCACCTGAAAAGGTACTTATGACCTGAATTCATAGTCCTGTGGTCATGTGATCGTATCACAAGGAGGCTTAGGTAGAGGCAGATAGTTCTCTCTCTGGGCACACTGAGGATGTAACTTTGCATTGGCGACAGGGATGGTATCTGGCCAGTAAACCCTCAGCTCCACTCAGTTGCCCGGGCTCCACCCTGCAAAGGGTTATGGAGTCGTTAAAAGAGGATGAACTGGACTTTCTGGTTTTTTTCTTTGAAAATTTTTTGCTTCTCATCCAAGAAGCTTCTTCCCAAACCTCTTCAAGGTCTATGGAGATTCTCAGTCAATCCAGATCATGGTTGCCCGAAAGATGCTTTTCCAAGAGGCAAATGGACTTTCTGGTAAGCCCAGCTGCCTCTTGAAAAAACACCTCCAGGACTACAGGTGGTAACGTCTATAATTGGTCAGGGAACTGGGGAGGAGGGGCTGGGAAGCAGGCCCAGGGTCCCTGATGGGAGGGATGGAAGGAGAGAGAGACAGAGGGGTGAACAGGGTGGATTTGCCCAAATTTTATTCATGTGGGGGATGCTGCAAAGGCTTCTAACTTCAAAGCTGGGTCATAAGTAGCTTTTGGGGGCTCCACCGTTAAGCCTAGACACTAATAGAGCAATCGTAAGCAGGGGACTACTAGCATATCAATGTAGCATTTTACTTATCTTATTTTTCGGAATATAAGACACACCTCCCCCCCCCCGGCCTAAAAGAGGGTAAAAATTTGGGTGCATCTTTTACACTGAATGTAGTCCCGCTCACCCACCAGCCCCCACCCTTTGGCCTCTGCCTCCCAGTAATTTACCTCCTTGCAACAAACTGAGAAAATGGGCTTGCAGAGCCAACAAATAGGCTTTGGCAATCCCTGCAGCCTGAAACAACTGATCATCGGCATCCTTAAACTGAAATTGAAAGTGAAACTTGCTGTTTGCTGCAATGGGAGGCAGCTGCAGATTTTTTCTTCTTCCTTCTAATCAGGCTAAACTGAAACAGGCTGTTTGCTGCAAGGAGGTAAGTCAATAACTATAAATGCCTATAGAATGTTCAAATTATTAGACTTATTTTTTAAAGACTGCTTTATTATTATTATTGTAGACAACTTAACAAAACGAAGGAGCTTTTTTAAAAAAATAAATGCTTTCTGAAGAGGCCCAGTGCCAATCACCTCCTCGCGACCAATTAGATCACACAGATTAGGCCTCCTCCGAATCCCATCTGCCAGTCAGTGTCGACTGGCGACTACGCGGAGGAGAGCCTTCTCAGTAGTAGCTCCGACCCTTTGGAACGATCTCCCTGTGGAGATCCGTACCCTCACCACCCTCCAGACCTTCCGCACAGCCCTTAAGATCTGGCTATCCCGTCAGGCCTGGGGTTAGATTGTAATCCGTCCCCACCCGAATGATGAATGTTGTGTTTTATTTTTAATTATGTATTGTTTTATGTCTCACTGTTTGTATTCCCCTCCCCATGAATTGTAAGCCGCCCTGAGTCCCCCCAGGGAAAAGGGCGGCCTATAAATAAATTTTCCATTTCCATTTCCATTTTTAAATAGCAGAGAATAACTATACTTCCAAAAAGCACATCAATTTTAACAGCATCTGTACAAGTATAGTCTGAAATATAACACCACAAACAGTGTATATCTTCTGTACTGTTTACTGTTTGGTGCAAGGAGGCAAATTGCTGGGGGGGCAGAGGCAGATTATTCCCCCTTGTTTTCCTCCCCAAAAGCTAGGCGTGTCTTATATTTCGGAGCGTCTTATACTCAGAAAAATATGGCAATGCACATCAAGGTCCATACTCTACCGTTGTTGCAGCAAGGGGGAAATTCTGTTCAGGAGTTGAAAAGCAATTAGAAAATTTCCAGAGCCAGGGCTTTGCATCGTTATCTTGTCGCTGAAGCCATCCGAGTGATTTAGGACAGACGTTGTGTGCTATATTTCCTTCCATTATATGTCCAAACAGAAGTCAGCATTCTCCTCTCCTTCCTTCCTTCCTTTCCAACTGCGAAAAACATTGTGCATTATTTCACAAGGTCAGATCACGTGCCGTCACACACAACCCACTTATTCAACATGCCTGATGCATTTATATCACCTTCTTGAGCTGCGGAGCAAGAAGGCAGAATAGAATTCTCAACAAAAACAAATATTGGTTTTCAAAAATCAGGCAGAAGTGCAGAACCTGCGATCTGCCAGATTTTACTCAATTACAAGTCCAAAGTCCTTTGCAAATTTTTAGATATACAGAGTTGGAAGGGACCTTGTAGGTCATCTAGTCCAACCCCCCGCCCAAGCAGGAGACCCAACATCATTTCCGACAGATGGCAGTCCAGTCTCTTCTTGAAAGCCTCCGGTGATGAAGCTCCCACAACTTCTGAAGGCAACTTCTGTTCCACGGATTGATTGTTCTCACTGTCCAAAAATCTCTCCTTATTTCCAGGTTGAATCTTTTCCTTGATCAGTTTCCATCCATTATTCCTTATCTGGTCTTCAGGGGCTTTGGAAAATAGCTTGACCCCCCTCCTCTCTGTGGCAGCCCCTCAAATTCAAGCAGAGCATGGTCATTGAAAATGAAGACTTTGGAGTGGCGCAGACTTTCTTACCCAATGGAGGATACTAGCCAGTCACAATGTGGAGTTAAGTCATGATGGCTGTGTGTTAGGTAAGCTCCCTGTTGGGAGAGCGAGTACGTTCAGCGAAGCGTGGTGAGAGTTGTGTTGGAGAACACACAAACCAGCTTACAGAGACACTGCAGTTTAAATAGGCTTTTATTTTCGTGGAAATAGAGGTATCAGAGTCCATCAAACAGTCCAAGTCATACATAGATAAGACAGTCAGTCATCAACGTCTTTCAGTTAAGGGATAATCCAAATAACATAGTCCAGTATCATATAATCAGTTCAGTACACAAAGTTTGCTAACAGTTGCAAAACTTCAGCCCAGCATCTAAAAACAGAGAGCTAACAGTCATTCTGGCTCCCTCTTATGGCCTCCCTCTTATTGAGGAAAACAGCAACCAATCACATTTTACAGTATGATTTAAAGAAACAGGTACAGCATTGCTGTATGATTTATATATTGCCAACCCAACTGTTAGAATTATATTCCTAACAGCTGTGCTTTCATGCTACTTATTAAAACTAGCTTGATTATAGAAACGTTCTCAAGGAACTTATTGCTGATGCCGTGAAGTAGCAATTAAAACAATTCAAGCCAATTAGGTATTATCTTAATACTTAATCCTGAAGACCTGTTGCAGAAATTTGTGTGTCACAAACACGCCAAAAAGGCAGCCAGTTTCTATGACAGGTTTAAGGTGGAATAAAATCCCATGGTTGTTATTATACACGGCAAACAAAGCAATTGTTCTGTTTCTTTTAGAAACAGGAATCCTAGTGAATGTAAAGATGATGTTCTAAAGGCATAGACATATCAACGAGTAGCAAAACTGAATTTAGTACAGGTAGTCCTTGACTTACAACAATTCATTTAGTGACGGTTCGAAGTTACAACGGCACTGGAGAAAAACGACTTATGCTATTTTTCACACGTGCGACTGTTGCAGCATCCTTGTGATCACGTGACCAAAATTCAGCTGACTGAGAACTGACTCACATTAATGGCCGCTGCAGCGTCCAGGGAGGGTCATAGAATCCCCTCTTGCAACCTTTTGATAAGCAGAATCAATGGGGAAGCCAGATTCATTTAACAGCTGTGTTACTAACTGTGTTAACAACTGCAGTAGTGATTCACTTAACTGCAATAAGAAAAGTCATAAGACGAAATTCACTTAACTGCCTCACTTAGCAACAAAAATTTGGAGCTGAATTGTGGTTGTACGTCGAGGACTCTCTGTATACGCAAGCTCCTTGGCAATTTGCAGTAACTTCCTAAACGTTTCTTGGACAATGATATCTTCTTGCTGTTGATTCAAATCTTTTGTCAAAAGCAATCAAGGTAGCAATAGGTTTCCACTGATTAACTTTTATTGTTTAAAAACAAACCTTGTTCAAGCCACTGATGCAAGCTACTTTGTGAGCACATTCAAAGGGCTCTTTTTTTAAACCCTGAAAATCAGAAACGGGTTAAGCGTTTCTTAAAAAACACCATTTTCTGGCCTTTCTTCTGCATTCACACATGACAAGGCTCACTGTGCATAGTTAAAAGGTATTTCTCAGGTTAACCAGAAAACAATCATGCAATTTATTATTGTCAGGCTTCTTGTGGTTCAGGATCTAACCACTACCTCTCAACTTTCAGACTGACATTGTTTTTAAAATGTTTTATTTTGGGGCTTGTGAAACATCCAGAGATGAGAAGCTCCGTAAACGGCTTAAATACATATCATATTTAAACATTTATGCTGCGTTTCCATTGGATGTCTATAAGCCGCCTAGAGATGGATGGCATACAATTGAATTAATGATAATAATTAGTAATAGTAAATAGTAACATCTTGTGGGACTCTTGAATGCAAACAGGCCTCTGACCTAAAACATGCCTGACATCTCTATTGTGGAAAAATAAAAAAAAACTCATTCATTGATATTGCAATACCAGGCGATACACGAATTGAATAGAAACAACTAGTGAAAAAAACAAACAAAATAACATGATCTGCAAATTAAAGTTGAGTGATTGTGGAGGAAGAAATCAACAGATGAACCAATAGTAATAGGAACCCTTGCAACAATCCCAAAAGAGTTGCTAGACACATGGAAATGTTGAAACTTATCAGACTTTGCAAAAAAAAAAAAACCACCTGACTCGGAACTTCCTATATATTCAGGCGTTACCTTAACAGTTCTTAGGTTCTTGGTTAAGACTTGAACTGTTAAGTTTTTACCAAGTGAATTGAATTGAAGATTAAACCTTATATAGTAATGATGATGATAATGAGGACAATGATAATGATGATGATAATGGATGACAATGATAATAATAAGTTTCATGTTTAATGAATAAAAGAGATAATAATAGGTTACTTGGATAATTGGTTGATACCTAGGATGCTGGCAGCCACCTGTATCAACCATCAGTCAATATTTGTGATACATTTTTAAATGTTCAGTTGACTTGAGTTTCATGTTTAAATAGTAGTAGTAGTAGTAGTAGTAGTAGTAGTAGTAGTAGTAGTAGTAGTAGTAGTAATATCATCGAAACTACATGGCTATGGATGAAATATGTGATAGTGATACCCATTGACATCGGGCACTTGGTACCATGTCCAACAATTATGAAAAACACATCAAGAAATTGCAGCTTCCTGCAATAAAACCAGCAGAACTGAAAAAACATCGTACATTTTAAGGTCACTGGTTGATACCTAGGACGCTGGAAGCAACCCATATCAGCCATTAGCACCAGTCAATGGTATTTGCGATGCATTTTTGAATGCTCAGTTGACTGTTTCATGTTTAATGGATAAACAATAANACCCACCTCGGAAGGATGGAAGGCTGAGTCAACCCTGAGCCGGTGAGGTTTGAACAGCCGAACTGCAGCTAACAGTCAGCTGAAGTGGCTGCAGTACTGCACTCTAACCACTGCGCCACCTCGGCTCTGAAGAAAGAGCTATGAACCCAAGTTTTCAGCTAGGATGGATGATTTCAAAATTTACCAGAAATGTTTGTAATCCTGCTGAACCGTTGCTAACTGTGAAATCTGTTGTTTTGCAAAATAGGCACTTGTATGGATTCGTGTAAAACAGGAAGAAAGAAACTGTTGGGAATGAGGAATTGAATGTCATGTACACAGGTGTTCACAGAAAGTGACAGTTAGTGAAGTTGTGAAGCATGTATGTGGTTAGAAGAATAGCATAAAACATAGGGTCCAAGGTCAGTTTGGAGCGCTTTGATTTATAGCAAGTCCTTGTATGACTTGCTATTTCTCACTGACTCACTGCAATTGTTTGTTCATGCAGTGTATCACTGCTGTTATATCTTTTATATCTATTCATTTCTAATGTTCCAAATTATTAGAAATAATAAACCTCTGATCTTAAAGTAAGAATTATTACTTGTGTTGTTGCCTTTGTTTCCTATTGGGATTTTCTTATGACAGTTCTATCTTCTTATGAACCAAAATTCTTGGTTTAGTGACTTGGGATTTGTGTTACGTTATTATCCAAAATAGAGAAGGACGGATGGTTGACTTGATATACATATCGGACATTAACACAATTGAACGAGTCCAGAGATATTTCACGAGAATAGTCCTGCGCGCCACTGCTCGTAACAGGATACCTTATGCCACCAGGCTTGAAATTTTGGGCTTGGACAACTTCGAACTACGCTGTCTACGGTCTGACCTAAGTGTAGTACATAAAATTATCTACTACAATGTTCTACCCGTGGCACGACAAAACCGCGCTCCACTAAAGCGCGCCCGATTAAACCGCATCGCTGATGTCATCAGCAGCGCGACAACAGCGACCGCAGAGAAAAAAGGGCGCTTTAAAAAGCGCTTTGAAAGCAAGCCGATTCAAGTTAAGGTAAGGGTTAGNTATTCTATTCTATTCTATTCTATTCTATTCATATCTGAATGCTTCCTACAAACCATGATGCCATCCATCCAAGGTAAAAGTGCAGAAATCGTAACGCAGGTCACAAAAAACCAAGGCTCCATCAGCTGCAGTCATTTCAACATGGTTTGTGTCCATCTGGATGATGGTACCATTTCCTTGGAGAGGGACGTCAAAACTTCCGCAGTCCTTCAACAGCGAAGTGTTGTATTCCTTGTAGATCTGTTTGAAAACATTTTTTTTTAAAAATCCAGCTTTGGGGGGGTGGGGTGGAGGAATCCCCCCCCTCCTGAGGAATGAAATATTTTGAGGAATATTTAAAAAGGCAGGATAAAATATTTCCCCTAAAAGAGAAATAAAAAAAATCTTAAGGGAGACAGAAACTCAGAGCCCCACATTCCTGCCCCCAAGAAGATCCTGAGCTGGGGCAGCTTTTAGACATGCAGATTTGGTAATCCATTCAAGACAGGATATTCCAAAACTCCCTGCAATAAAGTCTGAATCAAGGCAAATTAGCCCTCACTCAAGATCCAGTACAGGAAAAAGCCATTACGCCCTATTCATTACATCACCCTCCAAACTTCAACCAAACTTAGCTCAGACAAAGACCTAGGATTTGTACTTTGCCTATAGAGCCAGGGATGACCCCTACACAACTACAACAGCCAAAAGAATTACATGTTCTTGCACAGGAACAGGAAGCT